AGGACGGGGCTGAGCCCGGGCCCTGGGGGCCGCGCCTGCGTCCTGGCCGCGCGGCTCACTGCAGGTGAGGCTCGGGCTTGCCGCCCGGGCTGGCTTTGAACCGCCGTCCGCAGAGCTCGGCCTCCTGCGTCGCGGGGTGGCTCCCCGTCCGAAACGTGGCAAGTGGGGCTGTGCGTGGAGTGACGGGGCGGAGCCGGGCCCGCGTTCGAAGGCGGCCGGCCCGCGGCGGGGAGCCGAGCACCTTACCGGCTGGGTGGAGGTGGTGACCCCCAAAACAATACAAAATGCGACATGATTGATTTTGAAGCATAGGGCCGAACTTGAAAGGCAGGATTGAACTGGAACAACTCGTTCTGAGGAAAGGACCCATTTGCCCCCGGCTGCCTCTGCTAGTCTAATTAGTTTCGAAAAGGCGGAACACCTGGCCCCGTGGCTTTAGGTCAAAGTGTTAGAGGGGTAGTTGGGGTTCTGCTTCAGGAATGTGTGATTTACGCGTTTGCAAAGTAACTGCTGAGTTCTGCTTCTGTACACCAGCTTGCTTGCAACTGCTCTAAAAGAATGCGTTTTTTTGCTTTATAAACCCTGAGCTATTTGAGTTCGAGGCTGCTCACTCCCCCTCGGTCAGGCCAGGCTGGTCAGTCCAATAAACTCCAGCTTTTAAGGTAGTGGTCGGCCTCTGTGACTTTGCCCGGGGGTCAGTCCACTCCAGTGGACTCTGTCTTCACCACAGCAGGCTTCCCACCCGGTCCCTCCAGTCCCAGCCTCCTGAGTAGCTAGGACTCATTACCCTGTGAGCCATAGGTACCAGTCAGGCTATTTTTATTTTTTTGCCTGTCCTGGGCTTGAACTCAGGGCCTGGCACTGTCCCTGAACTTCTTTTTTCTCAAGGCTAGTGCTCTACCACTTGAGCCACAGCACCACTCCCAGCTTTATCTGTGTATGTGGTGCTGAGGAATCGAACCCAGGGCCTCACACATGCAAGGCAAGCGCTCTTTACCTTTTGGGGCTTTAGAAGATGATGTTAAAATATGTATTTAAAGACCATGTGCATGAACCAGGCATGGGTGGCTCACGCTTGTAACCCTAGCTGCTTAGGAGGCTGAGATCTGAGGATCATGGTTCAGAGCCAGCCTGGGCAGGAAAGTCCATGAGACTCTTATCTCTAATTAACCACCAGAAAACTGGAAGTGGTGCTGTGGCTCAGGTGGCAGAGTGCTCGCCTTGGGCTGGAGCTCAGTGACAGCGCCCAGGCTGAGTTCAAGCCCCAAGACTAACAAAAAAAAAGGGGGGGGCTGGGAAGGTGGCTCAGTGGTAGAGCGCTTGCCTTGCATGCTGAGGCCCTGGGTAAGATTCCTCAGCACCACATAAGCAAAAAGAAAAAAGCCAGAAGTGGCACTGTGGCTCAAGTGGTAGAGCGCTAGCCTTGAGCTGAAGAGCTGAGGGATAGCGCCCAGGCCCAGAGTTCAGGCCCCACGACTGGACCCTCCCCCCCCAAAAAAAAGACTATGTGCATGGTTTTGCACTGATGGCTCACCCCTATTATCCTACCTATTCAGGAGGCTGAGAAATGAGTCTTACCTCTAACCAATACAAATCTGACAGTGGAAGGATGGCTCAAGTGATAGAGTTCCAGCCTCTGAGGCCCTGAGCTTGAGCCCAGGACTGGCACACACTCACCAGAGAGTGCTTGTCTCTAAAAGGAGGTCAGCTAGAAGGTGGATCACAGAAGGTCCAATCAGGTCTTACTATGTCCACCCAACTGCCCATGGGGACAGAGTGGTGGGATTACAAACATGGATCATGATGCCTTTGTGCCCAATACCGTTTCAAACACAAACGAAGCACACGGAGTACCACCAAGGATGATCATAAGGCTAAAGCTCTGCATGACTTGTTTCTGTGAGTCCATTGGTGCAATTACTCCTAGGAGGCCAGGCTTCACCTTACTTTACTCAACTGAAGTGCTATATTTACAACAGTATCACAGGCCGGTGTACTGGCCAAGCATGAGATACTCGGCAAACGACTTCCTAAAAAAGACACGGGTCATCCCAGTGTGTAACACATGTCATGTCCACTTTAGAGCAGTTATATAGACAATATGCACCTCCCACCCAACCATACGCTAATCTTTGGTAGTAAAATTGGGGAACTGAGGCCAGGGCCAGTCCCTTGGAGGTGCTCAGGCACCTGCCCTCCTATTGTCCAGCAGCTAACTTGAGCACAAGTGCTGGCTCCAAAAGAATAGGACCCTTGGCTGGTGAGTGATGGGCCTGTCTCCAAATGCCACTGTGCAGGCAGGAGGGAAGCGCGTGGGAAAGAGCTATGCGACTCGCCAGGGACTCGGTCCTTTAGTGGCCTGGGCCCAGACTGCTACGGCAGCAGCTCACAGTACAAACAGAATTGTGATCCTGGACACACCTGCCAGAGCGTGTAGTATAAAGGTAGGTTCTCTATTATGGAGTAGGTCAGTCAAATACCACAATTTTCAGGGCCATCAAAAGGTGGCCCTAAGGCAGAAGGACAGACCCGTGAGGACAGAGCAGTAGGTGGCAGTGTTTGAATCCCTAGGGCTCCGTGCCTGGTGACTCCTCTGTGATCCTTGGAAGAGCAAACGCGCAAGGAAGAAAGTCGGCTCAGAGGCCCTTTCATCTCAGCCCTGTTAGCATTCTGAGGAGACACAGACCCAAGTTTCAGGCAGGAACCTGCAGCTGCTCAGTTTGAGGTGGGAGGGATCTACACAGCCAGGCATGGATGGAAACATTGTGTAAACCCTGGGAACTCCTATACACACAATCCAACTGTAATCTTCCCACAATGGTAACAAGGCTGACAATCTTCCCCACAGGAGAGACTGATGTATAAATGTAAAGTTCAATCACTCAAGTCCCTAAGAACATTTACTAAGTATACATAAGTAACTCAATAAATAGATCTCAAAAGCCCTCTGCAGAAACCATTCCCAGCTGAAAGGAACTAGGAGAACCGCTAAGAAAGCAGTTCCTGGGTCACTGCAAGTGACGTCAAGGAGTTCCAGCTATCTGCGGAGCTGCCTCTTCATCTCCAGAAGTCTGCTGCTCCCTCTGGGCATCAATCCACCTCTGTGGAGCAATCATTTTCTTAGGCCCGTGTGGCGGTGGGCCAATGAGGGCCTCAATATCCTCATAGTTTATCACTTCCTTTTCCAGAAGGGCATTTGCCAGCTAGAAAGAACAAACACAGCAGTGTGAATCTCTGAAACAAAGACAAGAGCCTTTGAGAGCAAAGCATCTGTGACGGAGACACACTCCACAGAGGGGTCTCTGTGTCCTAGAGGACGTTTCGGACAAACTGCTTTCCCAGGAAGCAGAAGCAGGAGGCGGCTGGGGCAGTGAAGAATCACTCCCTGTCTCAACTCTGCAAGTGATTTGCCAGCTGCAAGATCACTCATTAATTTCTCTACTTCCTCTAAGAATTTTCACCTATTTTTGGCAAATTAGTTTTCTTCACCAAACAAGGTCTGTGTGTGACTATGGTGAGAGTTAAAACGTGGGCATGTCTTGGAGAGGGGTTAAAATGCTGGTGGGTGCAGGGGTAAAACATGGGGGCCCTCACCTGGAGTACCGTAGGGCGGGAGTGTGAGGGGGAGCATGGGAGCTGGGGCTCACAACCGCGGTTGGGGGGAAGTATTTGAAATGTACCCCACAATCCTGTGTCCATACATCTTGCTGGTTAGAGCAAAAACTCTTGCACATTTTTTCCTTGTTTGGTGCTGGGTATGGAACCCAGGGCCTTGAGAATGCTATTTACACACTGCCACTGAGCTAGAGTCCAGCCCTGTATTCCGCATCAGCTGAACCAAACAGTAACCCCTGAAACAGTGCTTAATCTCTGAGCGTTTACTATGAGAGGCCCACAGTTCCTGCCCTGGCTGCTGGTGTGGCAGTAAGGACCGGAACCTGTCACCTGTGTGGGTAGTTCAGTCCTGACAGGCGGCGCTGCATATACTCAGGACACCCCTCCATCCTGGTCCCACGCACCAAGTCTAAGTTCTTAAGCTCAGTGCTAGTCTGCAATGTGCACCTTGCAGAGAGCCTGGCTTTGCCTGAATGCAGCATCTGATGAGACAGGTGCTCTGGTCTGGAATTAACACTGAGGATTGAAAACATGATTCCTGACTGACAGACCAGCTGGGGTTTTTGTGGGGGGAAACAGGGTGAACTCAGGACCTGACCACTGTCCTTGAACTTTTGTGCTCAAGGCTAGAGCTCTACCACTTGAGCTATAGCTCCACTTCTGGCCTTTTGGAGGTTAGTTGGAAGTAGAAGTCTCAGGTACTTTCCTGCCTGCGTTGACTTTGTAGACCAGGCTAGATTCAAAGTTGAGATCCTCCAGCCTCAGCCTCCTAAGTGCTGGGGTGGCAGGTGTGCACAACCACACTTGGCTTAGCTGCATCATGTTAAAAAAACAAGCAGGTGCTAAGAAACGACACGCTGTTCTGCTGGTCTGTCTGCATGTGGCACGAAGAGCTGTTGCTTCCACTGTCACAACCAGGAGATAAAAGGCCTTCACTTCTGAGGCTGTCCTCTCCAAACCACCACCTCTATCCAAGGTGAGAAAATGCTGAATAATCCAGTACCCCACACAGTACCAAGCCACCTGCAGGGCGGCCCTCACGATAGCGAGCCACGAGGCAAGGGGTCAAAGGCCATGTAATGGCGGCAGGTCCTGTGGGAATCTGGACAGAGTAAGGGCACTGGGGAGAGTCTGCGGCCATGTGAGTCCACTGTGGACCTCAGTTAACAATGGTGTGTGATGATGTTCTATACTATGTTAGTTCCAGGGGAGAACAACTCTGTAAATCTAGAACTATTCTAAAGCTTAAAAAGATTTCTGAGGGGCTGGGAAGGTGGCTCAGTGGTAGAGCGCTGGCCTTGCATGCATGAGGCCCTGGGTTCAATTCCTCAGCACCACATAAGCAAAAAGAAAAAAGCCGGAAGTGGCGCTGTGGCTCAAGGGGTAGAGTGCTAGCCTTGAGCTGAAGAGCTGAGGGACAGCGCCCAGGAGCAGAGTTCAGGCCCCACAACCGGACCCTCCCCCGCAAAAAAAAAGATTTCTGAAGCTGGGCGCCGGTGGCTCACGCCTGTAATCCTAGCTACTCAGGAGGCTGAGATCTGAGGATTATGGTTCAAAGCCAGCCCGGGCAAGAAAGTTTGTGAGACCAGAAAACCAAAAGTGGCAGGTGGCTGAAAGTGGTAGAGTAGTAGGCTTTGAGCACAATAGCTCAGGGACAGTGCCTACGCCCCGAGTTCAAGCCCCATGACTGAAAAACAAACCATTTCCAGGGAGGAAATATTGATCATAACAATATGTTTACAAAAGGTGGGGGGTGATCTAATTGGAAGGAACTGGTGTGGCATGCTTCACATAGAAGAGGAAATGTATGACCCCAACTGTGCTGGTGGGGTTAGGCCTGCCTGGGCCCTCCTCAACCCCACACAGCGGAAGTGCCCTGTGGGGGCACTGCACCCTGAGCTGCCCTCACCGCCTGCAACTTGTCCATGTTGTCCAGCAGTACCCTCTCCGTGTGTCTGTAGGCTTTGGCCACCAGCAGCTTTGCTTCCTGTACAGAAAAAGTTAAGACATGTCATGGGAAAGGATGAAGACACTGTTGAGATTCATCATAGCCAGTCTAGCATGGAAGTACAGGAAGAAAGTTCAGATTAGGAATATGCCTTCCATCTCTCACGATGACCAGCAGACACTCTCCCGTTCACACCTGTCAGGGACTCACAGTACCAACTGGCGGACCCTGTCTGTCCTCTGCTACATCTGAGGCTGTCACGGGAGCCTAAGCAGCAAGAGCTGTCCAAGAGCAGGCCTGGACACTGTCCTGGAAGAACCTGCCACTGCGTGGATCATGCATATGGGTTCTGTTATTCAGTGTGTTTGACATTCTTCCAGATTGACAGCTAGAAGGATGAGTCCACTAGGTCCTTCTCCAAGAAAACATACGCCACAGGGCTGCAATAGAGCCCAGAAAACATATGCCACAGGGCTGTAATAGAGCCCAGAAAACATAGACCACAGGGCTGCAATAGAGCCCAGAAAACATAGACCACAGGGCTGCAATAGAGCCCAGAAAACATACGCCACAGGGCTGTAATAGAGCCCAGAAAACATACGCCACAGGGCTGCAATAGAGCCCAGGAGGGCAAGTTTATATCAGGCTGCCACTCAGGCTTTTTTTTTTCCTTACCAGTCCTGGGGCTTGAACTCAGGGCCCGGGCACTGTCCTTGGCTGCTTTTGCTCAAGGCCAGCACTCTACCATGTGAGCCACAGTGCCACTTCTGGCGTGAGCCAGTAGGGCTTGGCTTCAGGCTCTCTTTTAAGGGAGCTGAGGTCCTCCTATAACAGGCCCAGTACCGTTTCCCCCTCAGGCAAGGGGTATGACTCACGTGGTCCATCATCTGCTGCAGGCCCTGGCTGAAGGGGCGTCGTCCAGTGCCCGTGAGACCCTCCTGTGCCTCAGGAAAGGAGACCGGCCCAATGGTGGGTGCCATGCCAAACTGCTTCACCATGGAGTAGGCAATGCGGGTGACCTTCCTCAGGTCATCCTGGGCCCCTGGAGCACAGAGTTAGGAGAGGGAGAGTCCTCAGCAGCCCATGTACATGGGAATGCTGGGCCCACAGGCCCCATTAGAGCCCATGGACTAGCACTTCAGCAGACATTTTTTTTCCCACATCGGTCGTGGGGCTTGAACTCTGGGCCTGGGCGCTGTCCCTCAGCTCTTCAGCTCAAGGCGAGCGCTCTACCACTTGAGCCACAGCGCCACTTCCAGTTTTCTAGTGGTTTATTGGAGATAAAGAGTCTCACAGACTTTCCTGCCCAGGCTGGCTTTGAACCGTGATCCTCAGGTCTCACCCTC